TTAAATGTTACTTAATGTCTTTACTGCTGTTCAATCAGTATTTTAGGATACGTATTCTGCTTTTCGGTAGATAATAGTAATTCAAATACAGGAGTATTCGGAACATTGAGCGTAAATTCGTCGGAATACCGGTCAGTTCTTCAGAGGATCAAAGTGATCGGTTGATATCATGAATTGATGATCATTTTATATTTATTGCACACATTAGAATAGAATTTAAGATGTGATGTATTGAGAAGTGGGAACGGACAACAAGTGAAGCTGAAATAGACTAGTTTGATCCTAAATTATCCGTACTCCATTTGGTTTGCGATAACCATCTAAATTGATGTCCTCGAAAATGTTTGACGTACATAAACCAATCTGGAGACATTTCTTATGAGAATAATGTCACTAAGTCAGTTGATATAAGTAACAATAAAATATCAAATCTGACAGGTAGCAGGATAATGTTATGCCCACCTTCCGTACTAAATCATCTTGTAGTTGATTACCACAGCCCCCACTTTGAGTGGATAATTTCATTTCACTTACGGTAATGTTTTCGCTGTCGCCGCTAAGAGATTTGTGTAATGTGTACTGTATCACTTTAATGGCTAATCAGCACTTTGAAACTTTTTTTTACTTTTTTGGATGCAACATTATTTTGACTGGTTCGCGACCTTATTTCCTAAACGCTCATCGAACGCAATTCCGTTCCAGAAACAAACAATTTCAGCATCGTCTTAGGCAGTAAGTATTCCCCCCGTCCAAGTAAGTCAACCATCAGATCGTTTAGCTCAGTGAGGTTGTCCAACACTTCAGAACACGGTTTGGTTGACCTGAATCTGGCCAACAAATACAGAGTTAATATCGCCCGTCCATTTTTGCATGCATCTCTGAGGTGGCAATGGATTTCAGGGTTTCGTTTATAATGTGCTCTGTTATTATATACCCAGACAATTTGCATAATAATAATGAGATTTGGTTTCATTCCGAGTACGCAGTGCAGTACGTTAAAACTTATTAACCTTATTTTTCAGGTACGCGATGCTGATTGTCAAGTATCTTTAAAATAGCTTCAGTCATATGGAATGCCTCAAATCTTTATCAATCTCACTCAACAGCTGTAGGACAGTGGCACATTTCAGTGGATTAACAACGAAGAACTCATTGAAGTCTTGGAAAAGAAAACAGAATTAAGAGAAGCCTATTTATTTGTGATGATATTTTTAGTTGTATTGTATTGGATTATATGACGGAGTGTCATGCGAGTGAAAAAAAGAATACTCTGAACCGATATTGGGGTTCTAAAATATTTGGAATTTGCATATGATATTCGTCTAGTGTCACATAAACCCGATAATTCATGCGCAAAGACGGACGAAATGGTAATCAAGGCAGACGTTCCAACAGAACTGACAGCTATTGCATCCCATGCAATCATGATCTACTGTTTTACAGTAAAGCACATTGAACATAAAGTGTTGATGTCAGTATATTGATTTATGAACAAGTGAACTGGCATTTATGAATCATGGAGATCCACGAAACAATTGCTATGACATAACTTATATCTCAAAAAATACTAACTGCTTTCACACAGATAAAAGTGTATTCGTTGCATAAAGAGTTTTATTTATTGAATACCTGCCATTTCAAAATCCTTCATTTATATATTAGAAAAATGTTGCTTGAGTTATCAGAAATCACACATCAGGCAAGCAAGTTACCAATACACTTTTTCACGTGGATGTATGATCTCAAACTGATTTGAGCTGGTTCGCAGCAACCACTATCATCTGAAAACAAGAAAAACAAATAGTATGAAAATATGAAAGTTTAAATTTCTGATTTGTTTATAAGTGATGATATGCTTGAATAAGAAAATGATATAGTGAGTATGAATAAATTGAAAAATTACCATTTGCAAATCTGGAAAAGCAACGAGTTAGGCGAATAAATGCACATTTTCCTCTTCATCAGCTGTACATAATTAGGTAGTCCAGAAATCAAAATTACTACATTCATGCTAGCTAGTCCTCGTGGATTCTGAACATCACATTTACATTGAAAGGCGTTTAAACTTATTTATCATATCTATCACATACTATCTAACCTTCCACATACTCCACAAATACGACATCTACTTACAGTGAATGAAAATGGAATTCATATGAACAAGCAAAATCTGCGTATTCAAAAGAAATGTGTGGCTCCCCATTCATGGCTATGGCCAACTTCATAATACGTAATAAGTCTTACTTACGATTCTCCACTCCCCGTGTTATTTTATTCCAGCTACAACCACAGGTTATTCAATCAACGTGCTTTTGTCGTAGTATTATTTCGTGATTCTATTTGGTCATTCTGTTCTTCCTAGTCACCATTATTCTAGAAATTTCACCACTACAAAAGAAGTCTTGTTGTAACACCTTACGAGTATGTTTATCTTGTATAACCGTATTACGAACATCCCTCCATCAAAATTTTGACATCGTTTTACTAACATCAACTAGTTAATTATTGTAGTGTTTCCGAAAACATCCCTTTGTTCACTTAAAACCGTTAATTCCTATTCACTAAAATAAATACATACTTGGTATAAATTTGATGATCAACTATATACAAAAGTTTAGAGACACTGACAAGGAACTATTTGAAATGCAAGAATATATCATTGCTCAGTTTGTGCTCTTCAAAATAAAATATGTTTCAGATTTAGTAAGAATGCTACCAGTCTGTCATTCCTCCAAGCAATTCCGGGAGAGAGATAAGTTTGAACTTACCAAACACATGGAGGTATTGAGAAAGCCGCCAGCCATCATTTTGCACAGGTCCTACAAAATAAACATTGAATCTCGTGAACACTGGATGCAACCAAGCAGAATAATTCTAGGAGTTCTCCTGTACATTTGCACTCGGTGTTACTGAGTGGTAAAATTCAGAGCAACACAGATAATATAAATTAGAATAACTGTGTATTCACGAGATAAGTTAAACTTCTGCTATCCAAATGAAGACATCTTCAGCATTATTTCCAGGAATAACAGTGACTAATAGTAACTAAGGAGACGAAGTGTCGCTATAAATCTACAAGTCAGCATTTTTCTTGGTCGAATTTGATGCACAAATGTTTGATTCCTACGTTATATTAGCCATAATGAGTAAACGACTTAAAATGAAGTCTTTGCATTCCATATAACCTGCATGCTGTGCAGATTTGACGAAATTGATCCAAGTCACTAAACTACCACCGAACAAAATTTTGTGTGATCTATTCACTTCACACCAAATAGAACTGACTGGCTGTAAACTTCAGATTTTTTTCCTTCCTTCACTTTCCCCAGTGGAACATAGGGCTTCAAGCTAGTGGCTTGAAGTTTCTGTAGCAGTATTTATTTTTACAGAATAAGGTTGCTAGTTTCATGCCCAACTTTTCCTCTTTACCAGCCTTATTTATGGCTTAGCGAGGTGAAGGAGTGCGTCGGCTGGGGATCAAACCCCGGACCATATGCATGTTCGGCGAACCTCCTAACCACTATGCCACCGACGCTAATTGTACCCTAAACTGCAGACTGTAAACGAATCGTAATATTACCGGTTGCTCTCTCAACTGCGTCATATAAAGTTCATATATGTTCCCATAAAATAGTACTGTTTTTCAATTTTGTAATGGCTGTCCATCTGTTGATACGCCATGTGGGTAGAAGGATTTTCTATTGTTGTGGACATTCCATTTTATGGATATTCGCATATGCCACCACAAAGAAAGCATCAGTTATCCATCTTTGTCTTCCCCATATTATAAATCTTTGCTTTCACCATGTTGCACTCAACTACACGTCGATTTTGCAATGAATTTTGGATAAGGAGGTCTGGCAGAATACTCAAAAACGACATTGAATAGATAATTTTGCACCCATGATGATTTCAACGCTTCACACATTTTCCTTCAGTGAAAAAAACGTCGTTCATTTAAACGGTCTTCTAACTAGCTGATCACAGATGAAATTAATTCGTCTTTCTAAGACTGGACGCTTTCAATACCATTAACTTCCATATCACGTTTAATTATGAATACATCGCACAGCGATTAAGAATAGTTTACCGTATGACAATGCTTTGTTTCCCTCATCCATTGTAATGTGAAAGTTTTGAGTAAAAGGAATGTGGGGAATCGTGGATATTTGATATTCCATGCAAATTGTGAAATGACTACAGCCGTTCAACAATAAACGTCGATGTGTAACAAATCATTTGAAAATTCACCTAACTCACCTCATACCAAGGTATGAACGTCAAAACCACGGCAATAACCGCACAAATTATCGATAAAACCGCCAGTACGATAGCCACAATTATCTTCAATCTTCTTCTCGTGAAGAATGTAATAATCATCAATAAATCTTCCAGAATAGTGAACATGAATAAATATGAGCATTTTAAACAAATGACTTTGCAATCTACCAAGCAGACTTCTAACGACCATAGTAAAAGCTGTTGACAAAATTAATTTAAAAAAGTACAAATTAATGGAACAAATTAATTGGTCTTCATAAATATTATGTTCAATCTAATTTCAACCTCATTCAGCATGAAAAAAATATGCTATATCGAACTTCTCAAGAATCACTTCTTCTTAGTCACGTTCGCACAAGACTCGATTCTTCAGAGGAGTCTCGTGACTACGGGTAAAATATACACCTGCTGATAATATACCGATTTGGTTTATTTTATCAGTGGACTACCGAAACTTGTGGCTATAGTTGAGTTGCTTTACTGACTCAGAAATCTATCATGTTTTTCGATTGCAAATTTAATGATGCTCAGACTTGTATTCTATTATTACAAGACACGCACACACTATGGATGATTTTGGACAAAAGTTGTCCACTGCTACATGCTTCCTTGCCTGGATAAATTCTATATTTCAATTTTATAGTGAGATGCTCGCTATATGAGAAACAATCACTAATAAAGAAACTCGCCTTATTAAGTTGACATTCAGGAGAACTTACCAATATTGCAAGGAATATTCGTTCAATCCTCCAGTTTAGGCAGTATTTGAGGGACAGTATTAAAATGATGACGAAAAGAATTGCTCTGAAATAAAATTTGAAACTGAGGAGTGAATTTCAGTGGTGTAACTTATCAGCATGTATATCTTTCCGTAGTTTTATGACTGCACATCAGTTATTTCTATGGTCTATCACACAGTGTAGAAGGATTATTCCTGGCACTAATTATGCAACAGAATACATTTCTGCCCATCACATTATCTCACGCTTCAAGCTAACTGATTGTTTTTTATCTAGTTGAACAATGTGCACGTAATCACTGGTTAACATAAACGCATACAAAACTCAATTGCATAAATGGCTTTTATCACTCGAATATGTTAGAATGTGGGACTCACATGGAAGTGACTGCTTCAATGTACCACAATTTCATCGCAAAATATTTCTCTGATCTAAAAAACAAGAAATTCATTATAAGTTTCAGGCAAAACGATATTTCTGAGGCTTTGTTTTGAAACCGCTGATCATTCGCACTCATATAATGTCAAATTCAGACAGTTCACTCAGTTGTCAATGTGGTTGTCACTATTTATACTATTTCAAGAATGAAATCACAGCGTTTTCTTTTTATTTTATTATTGTTTCAGTGATGCTTTCATGTGTACATCTTCTATTAAACTAAGTCTCTATAAAGTTTAAAACTAGTTGTTTATTTCATATATATATATATAATGTAATGAAATGTTTTACAAACACACACCCCTTAAGAGAAAGAAGGCTACTAATATATTCGGAATTTCCTTAAACGACAACAAAATTATATTACTGAAAATCCAAAGAAGGTGGATAACTTACTAGTGAATAAAGTATGATTCACCTTTAAACGTCAGACTATTGATATGCGAATAATTCGCTCATGTTCAAATATATTCATCTCATTCTTCGAAACTTTGATCCAAATATCCAGACAAAAACGTTAGATATAATATTAACTCAAAAAATAAAACTTGATACAATGTACTTTAAAATTATTAAATGTAAAAAATGCATACAAACATAATAAATAATGACTTCAAGTACATTCGTAATTGTTCTGAATTTTCTGTTATTTTCATTGGTTGCTCATCGCATCACCGCATATCCGCTGAACGAACTTACATGAAATGTTGCTATACCTGTTGAAATGTGCCAGGTTTTTCCCTAATAAAATTCATAACCAAGTCTCTTTACTTCTGACGTTAAATTCAAAATAGGGAAGCGCTATTGACGTTCCAGTTAAAGATTTCACCCAGCCTCGAATATCCCTATGAGTCAATCTCAAAATGAGCAGTTCTATTTTAGGTATTTTAAAAATCCATGGACAGTATAATGAATAAGATCAAAATATCTACAGCTGATCTACCACATCGAATGAAATTACTCCTTGTTTGTAAGGGGAAATATTTACCCCATTTAGGAATAATTATTGAATAGTGAGAACTGAGTGGCTCGAATTATATTGCCTCCAACTGGTTTCATTCTCAACATTTATGCAGTTGTATTTATTTAAAGTAGTTGCGTTTGCTATTGAATCCAACATAGTAACGGAGGTTATTAAAGTTGATAATAATTTTCAACTTGATATGAATGTTTGAATCTGTGAATTTAGACTACAGAAGGCATGGAAACAAAATAATTTACGATTCGAAAATGACTGGGAAAATGTAAAACGAGCACCGCTGTAGACATTATGAGCATAGAAGATAATTGATGACAGGAGACTTAATGTCACAATAAAAATTTTCGGAGCTGTAAACGGCACAGACTACACCAACTGATGTGATAAACACTATGGTAAGGAGGAATGGGAAAAAACTTAAAACTTTTCCAAATTCTTCTAAACCACATAATGTAAAACCCTACTAAAGCTACTCAAAGTGAAGATGACAATGAATACAACCTAAGAGATATTGAAGGTACATTGACTATCGATCAATTTGAAAAAGCGAATAGGCAAAAGTTTTACCTAATTCGATATACTCACACATGGAACAAACAACCAATGGGAATGAGGCTAGCATGCACATTAACCTGCTTTCAAAAGATACCAAGTGAATAACTAAAAGAATTTACAAGCAATATTAATACCGATTCCCGTGTAAGTGCTTCAGAAGTCATAGGCATATTCAATGTGTTTTTTTTCCTCTATTTATAATTTCAGACAAAAAAGCAGCAGTCGAGACATAATCTCTCAATTAAATAAGATCCTCTTTGTTAACGTCTACCTGATACAAAGGTGAAACAAAGCGGACACGCATGTGAAATATAAGAAAACAAATGAACAACATGCTTCAGTTTCGCATGGAAGGATATGAGATTCATGGACATTAGTTTATCAATAATTATGAGGAATTATATAAATTCACGATTCCCGCTGATACAACTCAAGGCCTGAAACCTTCTCAATATCGAGTAAATGTTGGATGGTTGTAGACGTTCACGAAATAATACATTTAAAGAATACATATAATGGCCCTGAACACATCGATACTTTGCTGAATATGTTAAAATTTCAGAGTAACCAAACCCCACAATAAAGGGAATTAACCAAATCCGCACTGTAGACATGATGTAATACTCATCCAGATACTCATCTATATGTTGATAAAGCTGACGCATCCAAACCACAACATATACAGGGCCAAAAAACCTGGACATCCAAGCAAAAATGAAAGTATACTGGGTGTAGCATTATAATTCTCACCAAGTAATTCGATAGCAATATTTAGTTCCTGAATTCTCCACTCGTCAATTTTCAATAGTTCGCAAATGTTTGGTTGCTCACAGAATTTAAACTAAACAAAACTAACCTGTCGCCTGATAATTTCAAATTATTATTTCTTCACATATTTAAGTGGGCACTAACTGCTGTGGTGTCCTGCTTGTGGATGATATTGCCGAAAGCATTATTGTCGACCAACTAACCAAAGCTTTACTAGCCATTTTGACAATTTTGTGAAAAGCCTAACGTATCTATCACATATAAGACAGCTTTCAGTTGTTACTGGCGTTTTCACCAAATTCAAACACTAATGAAGCCTAGGAATATATATATATATATATCATGTAAATTGATTTTAGCAGTCTAAAGTCATCAGAGTGATTTCATTCCATTACCATACCATATATATGTATCCAGTGTGAGTGAATAATTGTAAATATGCTTATTATACATATATATATCTCATATCAAATTGATGACGTCCGTAAACTGGTGTCCTTTATGTATAAAAATAAGAATATGTATTATTATTACTATCTTTTGTAGCTGATGATAAAAATAATGGGAGGGGAACACAAAAACCAGTGAAAACTAAAAGGACAAGCATATCAAGACTCCTAACTTTCTTTTTATTGTAACCTCATTCCCCCACTCGCGTTTTCATCCCCCTTTAAAAACACCATTGTTGAAATGATGTCTAAGCACTTCCATTTCACACGTATCTCTGCCGAAAAGAACCAAATAACTCAAATATTCTAATACCTTTTTCCCAAAGATTTGAAAGAGAAGAAATATTCTCATGCAATTAAAAGTGATCACCATCTGCCTTACCTTAATTTATTAATTTCCTAATGAGAAGAAACTTTTTATTTGTTCAAAAAATCTGTCACGAATCTACTTCTGAGTAGCCTGCTTATATCACCGAGTCACCCCGTTTGACATTGAGAAAATAACTCAGAATTCACCAAGTTTTGTTGTCTTATTTGTACTTCAGTTAAGTTCTTGAGTAATAACCGTTACTCCTTCGTATCATTTTTTTTGAATTTCAAATTGCTGTTATGCCTTCATCAAAACTGATGAGGGAAGAATATCACACGGAGAACGCTAAAATTTCATCAATTTAAGTCAGCACATTGTTCAAAATGAAGCTAACAAGATTATCGTAGTAGCTGAATTTCTGCTACGTAGAACATCACAAAGAATAAATGACAGTCGTCACATATCGCCTTTACTTGAGTGTGATTGGGATAACAGCGTCAAAACAGATCAAGCATATCGACAGAGTCGAAGTCAACAATTTCACCAGTTTATTTCATCCCCAGTTATAAGTGACTACTGATCATCGTGGAGTACAAGGAAGTGAAGGTGAAACAGCAGAAGACAAGAGATGGAAGTTAAGGTATATTTTCAATTGATAAAACAGCCATTCATATCTATACAGTTTACATTCTTGAACTAATCACTGGGCGTGTGACTTTGATTAGACGACATGAAACAGAATGTTCAGATATCTAGTGAAATGTGGGAAAGGTATTCTGACTACAGCAACGAATACGATGTTCAAATACATACAGTATTCTGTTGCTAATGCAATATTGAACTGAGGAGATACGTGAGAATAATCATCCGTTGCAACGCACTGTCTGCATTATACCGGCACAAAGGAAATGATGGTGGCAGATATGACGAATGATACACAGTCGATAGAACTTTTCAAAGAATAGTAAGCGACATGAAGTGATGATGCCCGAATAACACTGCACTGCTTTATCACCTAAATAGCCAGCAGTAAATGATCGCATACTACTTTATTTCATTGGCTTTTAAAAGCATCCATTTTTGTTACAAGGTTTCTTTTCGTATTACCAAGTGCATATACTTTATTCGAGAATTCCTTACTGACGTTGGATTACTTTGCATTCCTTATTAAATGTCTACCTGAATTCCACACCATTTCTTCACAGACTTATTCATATATTTATGCAATCGTTTCATTCTCGGAATTCAGTGGCTAAGGATGATTAGGAAAATCAACAGTGACTCAAAATCTTCAAAAATATCATTCATATCTGAGGAAATTGCTGCGCCTAGTTGAAACTGAAAGTGATGGCACACAGCCATGATTTTTATTTCAAAAAACTGGAAATATGAACCATCTCCTGTTCATGCCAAATGGAAAGTGCTTGTTTGTACAAAACACGAATTACTGTGGAAGTTGCTAAATACAATACAAAGGAGATAAGTAGCGTCAAACGTATTTCAGGGAACTGGCAAATACGTGTGCTATATTCTAGAAACACAAATTAAAGTGCACCATGAAGGTACAGAGATTTGATTACATGTATGTAAATTTGTTAATTTGCTTCTTGGATAATTACATCCCGTCTGTTACTTACACTTGTTGTGAAATGCAATAACATAACATAAGATAAGCTTTATTCCAAATCAGTACTTGTGATACAGAATGGAATTCTCAGCATTTTACTACAATATTGCATCCAGTTTTTACATTAACAATAAATAAAGTTCTACATAGATTAAAGTTATCTCAACAACATATTAGTATGTCGGTAGCAAAGCCAAAATTAAAGTGTTTGAAGGTGTTAGAAAAGTAGATACTACTAGCATATTTACTGGTGTAAGCGATAGCAAAATGGTCGATATATACAGAGTCTGAAAGAACGAACAAGAATGTTTTAAGTAGAGTTTGCAAGGAAGAGAGAAACCAAACAGCACATAACAAAAATAAATAGAGAAGGAAGAGAGAGAAAACGTTGTACCTATAAATGATGTGAGTTGGATAGACGAGATCCATAGGTTCTACTGACTATTTAATAAGTTAAAGGTTTCATGCCTGATGCATTCTTTATCGCACAGAACACGGGCTAGGTAGGGTATGGATGAGTTTTTGTACTTACTAGTGCGGGCATATAGTTTCCTATATAGGCTTCTTGTTTTCCCTGAAGAGATACATGGGGAGAGTTGTGAATGTAGAGGGTGTTGTGAGTCATATTAAATGGATTTCGCCCATTTTTCACAGGAGTCCATATGCCTGTCCACCAGAATATTAACAAGCTGGCTAAGTGGCAAACTGCTTACCCTGCTGACAACCTTTAACATCCTACGTAATAAGGTATAGTCTTTCTTCAATAGCCCAGGAAAGACTAAGGGGGAGCAATAGAGAATAATAGGCAGAATACGGGAGTTAACAAATTGTAGGAGTAAGGGTTGGGTTACACCAGAATGTCTTAACTTCTTGATGTAGAAGGTAAGACGGTATATTTTCTTGGAAATCGTCAAGATATGAGACGACCAGGAAAGATCAGAAGATCGAGTGACGCCTAGGTATTTAATTTCCGATTTGGTTTCTATTTCACTGCCATCTATGTTGCACACCTCGTGAGTGCTAACCAGTTTGTTTAGGTCAGATTTATGCCTAAGGGTGAAATTAACTGTTTGGCATTTGGAGGGGTTTAAGGTTAGACCGTTTTCCTTGGACCATTTGCTAATTTCCG